GAAAAAGTGTGCCATTGTTAAATGGGGGTATTGTGTATTTTCCAAGCACAAAGATAAACTCTATACATAATCAAGTAACTATTCTCTCAGTTGTTTTGAAAATATTGTATATATCAAAAGTATTTTGATATTTTAACTGAATGTCTCTTAATATAGTGGTTGAATGTAAAATATATTTTGTGACAGTCTTATATTTTATACTTTGTGATGAGTTTGAATCATTTATTTTAGACAATAATATGATCAACATATGCCTGGTTAATACATATGTCCCTCTAATGTTGACATAAGAGGTACCACCCGCAGGGGTGTGACCAGGGTGTTTGATAAACATCATGGTTTTAGAAGGGCACGTGTAAGAAGAAGAGACGTTTTAAGCCATTTTGTTTTGATTAGGTTCAGGGCCACAGACAGCCTCTGAGGAAAAATTGACTTTTAAGATTTGAGAATGAACATTTTGAGAACTGGGTTCATTTTTCTTCGTATTATTCAGGATTCCAATTTTTGACCACTTTCTTACATGTTGCTGTAATTACACCTTTACTTTAGAAGCCAGATCTTTATTCAAGAGGTACATTTTAGACCAATATTCAATCTCTATTCCTTTCAAAAAATCTTGAAAAAATAGTACTAAATCAATTCTGTGAATATCTGAACAAATATTATCTATCTGAGGAGTTTAAGTCAAGGTTTAGAGCTCATCATAGCACAAAAACAAAGGCTTGGACATGAGTTACAATTATAGGAAAAACCTTAAAATGACTCAATTCACACTTACCTGATAGATATCAGTTTGTTTATTTTAATTATGAATCTTCAGGATTTAGTATCTGGGCTAATACTCAATACTTTAAATATATACTCACACTGATTATTTTCCATAGAATGATTTGTACATGTTAGCTTTAGAGACCTAATAGAGTGCTATGTGAATGGGTCAATGAGGACACAGAATATTGTGTGAAGCACTTTGAGTATCCTGGTTGGATAGAAAGGTGCTATATAAGTACAGTCCATGTACTATTTACTGTATTTTATAAGATGTTTTACTTTATCCGAAGGACAATTCCCTCTTTTAAAGATAACCAGTATCATCACTGGGCAGCTGTGGCAGAGTGGTTAGGGGAGTCGTCCTGGAACCGTTAGGTCACCAGTTCAATCCCCCGTCCAGCTGTCTCAGTTGTTGTGTCATTGGGCAAGATACTTTACCCCCTGATGTCTGTCCCATCCGTGAATGAATGTGACTGGCACAGATTGGTCTCCATAGAAAGATTGTACATGTTAGCTTTGTAGAGACCTAACAGAGTGCTGTGTGAATAGGTAAATGAGGGCACAGATTGTAATGTGAAGAGCTCTGCGTATCCTGGTTGGATAGAAAGGCACTATACTGTATATGTACAGACAATTTACCATCATTTCCTGCCTGATCTAAAAACTGTAAGGAAGGGACATGCTGACATATTCCAATGGTAAACTCTTCCATCGTCTTTTAAGTGTGTTGCTAACATCAAGTTCTACGTTTGTTATGTGAGGAGATACTGAGAACCAAATGAAATATTGCAACTTGTTCTGGTTAATATTAAAGATGCACTGACATCACCCTGCCAGATTTTTTTTACTTGTTCTTCATAGTCATAAATTTCAAAAGAAGATGTATTTGCATCTAGGCTTGTTGTGATTGGGTGAGCAGGATGCTGTTCAAATAATTCAGCCTTAAGTTTCAGACATCCTCCAATGGGGATTGATTTGAGTGCATCTGTCAGAAGTTTGGCTAAGAAAAGTTAAAAGCTTCAAGTTTCTCTGTGTTTTTATACGAAACACTCAGCCAACACCTCGGGCTCTGTGTTAAGGCTTATGCCTCTCAAAGTACATCTAATGTCAACATGAGGTTATGAGATCAGGGCAGTACACAAGGAGGAGGAGAAAGATTCTTTTCATTAATTGGATTTGACTTTTATTCTTTTTTTAAAATGATGAAAATATTTTGATTTGCAATAGATCTTTTAAAATTCTTTAGTGAAACAAAATTTCAGAGTTTAAACAACATCCCCCCATTATCTATACCCCATTCCTCAATTCAGGGTTGCAGGGGTCACTGTTGCCCATATCCAGCAGTCACTGTGCAAGGGGCAATGTACACCCTGGACAAGTCTCCAGTCTATCACAGGGACATAACATTCACTCTCTCACTCACGCCTAGGGACAAGTTAGATTACCAAATAACCTAACAGTCATGATTTTGGTCTGTGGGAGGAAGCCGGAGTACCCGATGAAAACCCACACATGCACGGAAAGAACATGCAAACTTTACTCAGCAACGTTTCAGGGCTGGGATTTGATCGGGCAACCTTCTTGCTGAGAGGCATCAGCTCTACCAATTGAGCAACTGTGCCAACCATTTTAACCCACAATAATATTTCGATAAGGAAGGAATCTCTGCTTAGTAGAAACATTATAACATTTCATTAGTTCAAAATATATAAGTCAATGTGTCTGAAGAATATTTTTGTTTGATTTTATGGAAATTTATTTGACATACTGTCTTTTTCTTATAAACATGTACATATTTATTTAGAGTTTTTTTAATTCTTGTAAAGCTGATCAGTGAAATTATTCAGTGACTACAGAAAAGTATTAATCCAAGTCAAATTAATTCTAGCTTCAAGAAGGTTATAAACTATTTTTAGACTAACGGAAACTAAACTCAAATGTGATGTGAATTGACAATTTCTCACCATTATTTGTCCTGCAGAGTGAATGTGTCACAAATCCTTAACTGGTAGAGGTTTTGTTTACATATTTCTATGGCAATATTAGAAGTCATATGCAGACATGATTGAATTTTCCTTTTGGATTGCATTACTGAATGTCAGATGTGCACCTGTTCTTATAGTTTATAAGGTTTTTTGATTTTTAAAATGGAGAATTTCATTTTACAACAGTACAACTAACTGTATTTTAGGTGATCACCCCAGAAAATGCTTTTTAAAAAAGGTTTGCTGCCCCCCCAATGATGAGGTGAAATTTCTGTGTTTGGACAGGAGTTAAAGGCACAGTGTGTAGGATTTGTTGTTTTCAGCGACATCTAGTGGTTGAGTGGTTGAATCATCCTCCCTGGTCCTCCCCCCACCCCCACCCCCCCGCTTCCAAATGCAAAGGAATTGCTACGGTGTCTCTCAGGNACCCCCACCCCCCCGCTTCCAAATGCAAAGGAATTGCTACGGTGTCTCTCAGGTGTCAAAAACCTTTGATAATTCCAACCGTGATGTCTACCAGCAGCTTCAGGGCTAGTGATGTTTCAAATGGTAAGATCATGAGCTTTAATAAGTAAAATTATCCCAGCTATAATTACAGACAACAAATATTACATTTATAGTATTACAACTAAAACTGTTTTTGATGCCGCCACCTCAGTTTGTCCTTCATGAGCCTTCATAGACAAGATAACGGCTGCCTGTAGTGGGGACCTGCGACCATGGAGATATAAACAGCTTTTTATAAGGTAAAAATAATAAAACAGATCTTTGTCTGCAATGATTAGACATGTTTTTTATTATTGTCATTAGTGATCATCTCAATTTTGGCTAAAAGAATTGACAAAATCCTACACACTGTGCCTTTAATGGGGAGATTGAAGAAAGGTGGCTTGATGATAACAAGTAACAAATGAATGTCAAAGGACAGAAGAGCAAAGACTGACAGGAGAATACTGGCAAAATAAACTGGTGGCAAGGGAAACACAGTGGAACAGAACCAAACACAAAGATCACAAAACACACAAAAAAGCATGAAAACTGAATGGAACTTGGAATAATTGTAATGAAAAACCCAAAATACTACCATACCTTTAAAAACATTATGCAACATCTCACACTCAGAGTATGTGTTGGAGATGACTCTTGCAACAAACTTGTTATGTGTTGGCTAAGATTAATTAGCTGTGCTGGACATCTTGAATTGGATTGACTTCTGAATATATACAGTATACTTAGGACATATTTGAATACCTTCTTCAGATTTCAATTAATTGTCTAGCGATCCTCAGTATTGTTTTTGACTGCCATTTTAATTTTAGTCTTATGCTGTGTTCACACCGAACGCGATTTCAGCTTCAAAATCGCAGCCAACGCTGAAGTTTGAAGCTTGTGTACTTTGAGGTCTGACGCAGGACAGCTGTTGAAGCGCTGCACTGCAGAGCCTCCCCGCCCCTCCCTCCTCTGTTGGGCTCTGTTTAATGTCGGATGAGGAAGTGGCTTTGCTTTATTTACAGAGAGCAAGAGCGTGTCACGTTCATCAGATAATTAATTCATAATTAATTCACCAGATAAATCAGAGTAGAGGCTCACAGCTTACTTTCAGGACTATTTTTCCAGTATGATGAGCCGCTGCCATGCATTGCTGCGGATTAGGACACGACTGCAGGCACTCATTTCAGCTAAAAGCTCCTCTCTGTCTGTTTCAGGTTAGTGGACATCATTCAGTAAACTGTCCCGTCTGGAAATATGTCGCTACGTCACACAGTGGAGTCTCTCTGATTGGTTGACGCGGCGCGTCGAGCTGCAAAAGTTCAGATTTTCTAACTTCAGCGATTTGCGCCTCAGTGCGTCGAACGCTCAGATNATTTGCGCCTCAGTGCGTCGAACGCTCAGATCGTTCAAATTGTTCAAATCGCGCTGCTCTAATCGCGCTTGAGGCGCCGCAGAACTTCCCGACGTTGCTTGAAGTGCGTCCACCATAGACTTTGTATGTAAACCTGAGGCTCCTGAYGYTGAAATCGCGTTCGGTGTGAACGCACCATTAGTCTTAGTCTTTTGAACAAAAATACTTCTTAGTTTTAGTCAGTTTTAGTCATTTCTATATTTAATAGTTTTAGTCCAGTTTTAGTTGACGAAAACTTAAATAAAGTTTAGTTTTAGTCTTAAAAAAAGACAACTTATGGTCTTTACAAATTAATTTTGAGTAATTTGTGTTAACATTTGTGAATTTGTGTAATTTGTGTTACTCTAAAAATGCCCAAAACAAAAACTTTCTCACTTTTTGGCTTTATTTTAACACACATGTTCAACTCAAACTTGTCAGCCAGGACGATGAAGATGCATAAATAAAAATAAATACAAAAAATAAATAAAAACGGACATCATGCAGTCCTAAACTTAGYAGACTATTAAACTTGTGCAAACATTCTAAACCAAAGTTATAAAGTCTCTTAATTCTCTTATCAAAGTATGAAACATGACACTAGAAGTTTTGAAATGTAATTTAAATAAGGCAACCCCAGAACACTGTAAATACAGTACTGTACACATTGTGTTGGGTCTTTAAAGTAAATAAAATAAATAAACAACATAATTGATTAACAACATTGTTCAGATGAGGACCCTACCCCTTGTGCAGTGTTGCAAGAAGTCCAAACAGAACATTATTTTAACACATGTTCACCTGCACTAATAATTGTAACAGCTTGGTAACAAGGTGGGTATGCAAATGAAGTTTAACGACCTCGATTCAGCTAAAATGACTCTTGCTCTCTTTCGACGGCCACGACTGAGGTCACCTGTAACACTAAAGACCCTCTCAGCAAATGCTTGAGATGCTGGCATGGACAGAAGATCTAAAGCAATTGGTTTTAGGCTTGGCTAAACAGAATCTCCCTGTGCAGCCCAAAAATCAAGGGCAGTCTCTTGGTTTGTAGGCTGTGACAGCTGCTCCTTGAATTTCTTCATTTCCTGCATGACACACGGCTTTGAGAAGCCATATCTGGATGGCCGACTAAACAAAAACTTGAATCTGGGTCGCTTTCTCTGTGGTCCCTCTTTGGATTCCTCCTCTCCCTCCTCCCCTGGCTTCTCATCTTCCTGTAAAACTGGTGGCACCAACTGAGCTATGTACTCTTCTGCTTTTCCCAGAAGTGCCTCACTTTGCTCGTCATCATTTTCAAGGAGTGCTTCAGGTGCAACTGTTGGGTCGAGGTAGCAAGCAGCAGCAATGAGGGGTGAAAACTTAGAATCAGTGTGATCAAGAAAGCAGCCGAACCGTTTCTCCATGTTTGCCTTCATCGTATTTGCCAGGGAAGCTAGGTCCTTGAAGCTAGAACCCTGAGCAGTGGGGAACTCAGACAGGTGACCCTGCAAGTCCAGAAGGGCAGGCAACACAAGGGATAAAGACTGTGAGTCGCTTTGGAGCATCTGGGTATGCTCAGCCAAGGGGAGAAGTAAATCTCGTGGAGCAGTCAACTTCTGCCACTCACTTGGCAGTAGATAGTCCCAGCTCATCTCATCTGCAACTTGAACTACTAAGTCCATTTGGAGAAGTCGTGATACCATCAGATATGTGCTGGACCATCTAGTAGGGCAGTCACTGACCACAGTTAGTTGACATACCTGGAGCAAACGCTGAATTGCCACTGATGACTTGAGAAAGAGCTCGACAAGCAGTCTAACTTGGCCCAGTAGTCGGTTTATACTTGCATCTTTCTGGATCATGTTCACCACGAGTTGCAGTGTGTGTACAACACATGGGGTCCTATCTATGGCTCCAAACCTAAATAGAGAGGACAAAACAGAGAAAAAAACTTACTTAATATCATTTAGGAAATTCAATAAAATTGTCAAACAACTGCTAAAGTGATTATAACCTAGTGTAAATCAATGTGACTGACGCACTAAAAATATTAACAGTAAATTAAAACAATTTACCTCTGGTCTTGTCCAATCACTTCAGAGTCTTCAGTGTCGCTCATCTTGATGGATTCATCCTCAGAGCTAATGAGTTCATCCGGTTCATTAGCTTTGAACGCAGCAATCATGTTGCTTCCGTTATCAGTTATGACTGTCAAAATTTTGTGTTGCGGTATTCCCAGTCCGCAGTGCATTTGTCAACATGAGTTTTTATACACTCTGCAGTGTGTGGGTGAGGGAGCTGGTCAAGTCTCAACAGTATGTGCTGTGCTTTGTTTTCAACAGTGCTAAAAAAAACATGTACTAATTGCCAGAAATAATGCTGTAAGGCCTTTTTTGGTCCATATGTCCAGTCCAACTGTTATTTTGCGTGCTGTGGCAAGCCTCTCTCTGTACTTTTGCTTTTCATCATCATAAATCAATCAACCAAGTTGTTAATTTTTGTTCTTTTGGGTATGGTCAGCCTCTTATCAAAGGYCTCCATCATAAGGATGAAATCTTCATCCTCAGCTGTGCAAGCAGGTAGACCTGTTCGTCCAATCCAAAGAGCAATCGCCTGTTCTTTGGCATGTTGTTCCAGAGAATCTGTTTTATATTTGGATCCTGYGGCAAAGGCTGCTGGGATAGACAACTGTGCCCTGTCGTTCTTTGGACCACCAGGTTTCTCTTTAGGAGTTAGGGTCTCTGGGATCTGGATGAAGAAAAAACAAGGTGAGGAGATGATTATTCTATCTGTATATACAGTATACACCTCCTGTAAAGAATCTACAAGTGAATACAAAATRATCAAATGTACGTATATCTTAAATGCATTTACATTTTTATATGTACATGTATTTATTATGCATGATGTGTGCCAACATATTTTACTAAATACTACCATGTTAAAGAGTAACTTACCCCAAAATTAACTTTTTTTAGATGATAAACTGTTTAGAATGTGTCTAAAATGTTATAAAGTACTGTTTCTGTGCTAATTTTGATGTTTTTGTGCGTATTTGTTCAAATCTGTAACATTTGGTCTAAAAATGTCTTTTTGCTGCTCATATGGGTAGAGCAGTGGTACTGCAGGCTAATTTGCATGTTGGTTAACGGCTCTCCACGGTAACATGTCTTCTCCATGGTTTCGTCACAGCAGCTGTGTTCTGGTATAAAAGCCTCTCTCTAAGACACGCCCCTGCAGCAGTCAGAGGGTGGAACAG